TTTTCAAAGGAAAAGGAAAAGGTTATTGAGAATTTAATTATTCTCGCTAGTTTTTCGTCAAGAAAATTGATAAAGGGCTCAACAGAAGAACTTTTTCGTTGAGCGAATTGGTAAAGGCCTCAACGAAAGAAAATAGTAAAGGAAAAGAGGGTCTAACATATACGGACATGTGCATACTATACGTTCAGCGAGGAGTGTCCAAAAAAAGGAAAAGGATTTCAAAAAGGACATGAAAAGGATTTTAAAATGCAATCACTTGCATATATATATATATATATATATATAACATGCATAAATAACTTATTGAATAATAGCTCACCCAATTCTTGTGATATAAGGGTGAAGATATATATATATATATATAACATGCATAAATAACTTATTGAACAATAGCTCACCCAATTCTTGTGATATAAGGGTGAAGAATAAAAAGTAATAGCTATGTTCTTGCTAGAGCTTGTTAGGGGTGAGCATTCGGTTAAACGGTTCGGTTAAGCATAATTCAGTTTGGTTTTCGGTTAACCGAAGTAGGGAAAATAAAAACCAAAATCAAACCAAAATTAATTCGGTTAATTCAGTTTGTAACCAAATTATTTCAATTTGGTTTTGAAATAATTTGGTTTAACTGAATTTTTTCATTACTTCTCCATTTCGGACTTTAGACAGTTCTCTCAAAACTTCCATTTATTTTTTCTTTGCCTAAGGTAAGTAATTAGCAATTCGAGCTAACAAGTAACCACTTTCTTTTTCTAAAAATGATTCAACATCCAAAAAAAAAATCACAATTAAAATCAAATTTAAACACCCAACATGTTTAACATTCATATATCGAAAAAGGAAATAAGTTATGCAAAACAATTATTAGCAAAACAAAGATCCGGATACAATACAATCAACGTTAAACGGAAAAAGCATGGTAGAATGTCCGTTCTCATTTCTCAACAAAGAGGACGAGATATGAGATCTCTTCACGTCCTAAACCAAATGATTTTTATGCATTTGCAATACCTTCACTCCTTCGAGATCTACAATATAATGAAATCCCAACAAATACTCAATACTCCTAAAAGAGGATATTAACATGTTATAAAAATCAAAGAAAGTAGGCCTACCGCCCATTGTCGGTAGGCAGGAGACATTAAGCATTAGGCCTATTACCCATCGCCCATAGCTAGTAGGCACGAGACACCAGGCGTAAGCTACCGCCTACTCGTGGTTCTCTTCTCTAGTTCAATGAAAATGAAAATAAAAATTTACAATTCCCACTTACTAACTAAACTTGCACAAACAATAGAAATAAAAAATCAAACTTAGAAAGTAGAAACTTAGTAACTTACACATAGTCACATACCATTCATCAAGCCAAAACACCATCAAACCATCAACCCATCAAGATTCAAGCATTTGTAGTAGAGGTAGTGACAAGTGGTAACTCTGAAAATTATAAGATAAAAAAATTAAACTTTTAACATTAATATAGAGGAAAGAAATAACAAATGAAAAGGTAAGAGTTATAAAAATTATCATATTGCATTTTCTCAACATCTTGTAAATTTTCTTCAATAATAATTGGTGTCGATGAATTTTAAATCCAATCTTGAGCACATATAAGAGATTCCACTAAGCTAGGAGTCAAAGAACTCCTAAAGTAGTCAAGAACTCTTCCTCAAGTGCTAAATGTCGATTCCGAGGAAACAAGTAGAAACGAAACCGCCAATACATCCCTAGCCATTTGTGAAAGGATGTGAAACCAAGAAGAATTGGTTTTTCACCATTCTAAAATATTAAAATTAGTACTATTATTTTCAACACCTTTACTAAGATATTTATCCAATTCCATTTTATTTCCTCCACCTCCAATATCACATTTGTATTTTTCAAGACGCATCATTATCTCCCTTTTTATTCTAATTTCTTCTTCGTCAATCATTTCTTCATTTGCGTAACCCATATCTATTTTTCGACTCCCACTACCTTAGCCAATTTCATCTTGAGATGTTGACGAACAACAATAGAAATCATACATAGCATACATAGATTTCTTGACAATATTTGACATTCTTTAACCCTCCAAATCACCATACAATTCATTGATTGAAAATTCAATAAATATAAGTTTATTCCTAGGATCAAGTATTGTCATAATATCAATCAACTTATTCATTTTCTTAATATCCCCCAATACTTCTCGAACTTTTCTTTCATTTTATTGGCCAACGTAAAATCATCTAAATCCCAACTTTGTTGCCATTTTCAAAACATGTTCGAGAGCATAAATCTCTTTAAAATAAATATTTGAAGTCATATACAAAGAACCCGAAATACGCAAAGTGAGGTTGTAAAAAATTTTCAACATGCTCACTATCTTCTTACAAGACTTCCAATCATCAACATTAGGTGGCCCAACAACATTATCATCATGATCTACATCAAATTCACTCTTATATAAAGGATCAAATTACTCATATCTCTTAAAAGCTCTCTCAAACTTTAAAGCCGACTTCAACATCAAGTATGTTGAATTCCACCTAGTAGCAACATCTAGTTGTAACAAACTCCTAGAATCAATTTTCTCAACTTGAATGCATTCCTTAAATCTTTTCAACCTAGTCGGAGATTGCCTTAGAAACCTAATGCCCGATCGAATATGAACGATTGAAGGATTAAAATGTTTTAACCCATCAACAACAACTAGATTCAAAGTATATTCCATACACCTCATATGAATGAATTCACCATCTAAGATGCTATAACCCCAATTCTTAATCACATCTTTTAAGTGCCTAATTGTCACATCATTCGAACTCTTATTATCAACCGTAACACTAAAAACCTTCTTAATTCCCCAATCAATCAAACATTTCTCAATGGCAATACCTAAATCTACTCCCTTATGACTATCAATCGAATAAAAATTCAAGATCTTTTTATGCAACTTTCAATCATTATCAATAAAATGAGCCGTTAAACACATGTAATTGATTCTTTGAATAGATGTTCATGTGTCCGTAGTAAGGCTAATTCTTTGACTATTTTGTTTCAAAAATTGCTTCAACTTTATTTTTTCATCTAAATAAATTTGATAGAAATCTCTTGGAATTATAAAACGAGATGAAAGCTTGAATCTAGCTTGCAAATTAGACAAAAACTTTTTGAATCCTCTACCCTCTATATGCTTAAATGGAAACTCATTTACAATGATCATTTCAGCTAAATCTTTTCTACTAATATTTTGATCAAACTTTCATCTAGTAAGATTGTTTCTCCCGTTACAAGCTTTCTTAGGTCTAATTGAGTTTGGGTAGAGTTAATACAACTAAAAGAGTTTTTTTTTACAAGTCAAAACATGAGACCTAAGTGAAGTTGTCACATTTTTTGAAGGATCACAAGCAAATACCTTATCACAATAGTTACATTTAGCCTTCATGTTTTTCTTGTCATCTTCAAACTTTGTGAAATGATCCCACACCATCGATCTTGGCTCCATTGATTTTCTCTTCTTTTCTTTGCCACCGATTGTAGTGTTACTTGGAGTTGCACTTGATTATGGATTAGGATTGCTTGAATCCACATTTTCATAATTCATCTATATGGATTGAGATTGTGACATCTATATTAAAACATAGGAAAAAGAGTATTAAGCTTCATACTCCTTAAGCTTAAGCCAAAACAAATCTAGCTAGGAAGGAGGCACCGAGGCGGTAGGCTCATCGCCGCATCTGCGACACTCGCCTAGCCTACCGAAAACAATGAACCCATCTTGTCTATCTACTCTTTATTTACTCGTTATTTGTTAATTCATGTTAAATATAAAGCAATCCTTCTCATAGAATAAACAAGACTATCATCAAGTTGACTTACGTATAATAAAAAATGAGATCGAATAACTCGAGTGGGTGCCACGTGAAGAAGTCTTCCTTTAAGAATGTAAAGTAACTTGAATTTGGTAATGAGGAAAAAAGTTGTTTCAAAATTTAAAAAGAGAGAATTAATATTAGTAGCAAACACAACACCTACCACAAATAGAAGTCTTTGAATGATTGTTATGAACATTATCGACCTTTTACCTTACAATATCTTATGACCAATTTATAGGAGTCCTATAAACCTAGATGACCATTCCTTTTTTCTTTTTTAATTTGTTTTTTTTTTTTACCTAGGTATCACCATTGTGAAGATAGATAAACGAAGTATTGCTCTTTTCAAAGTTATGCAAAATCAAACTCTACAAAAAAGAACCTCCATTAACCAAAAAAAAAAAAAAAACCTTTGAAATGTAATAAATGCAAAGAAATTTTTCATTTTTTACCATTACCAAATATTCCGCAAAATGCAATCTTTTGGCTTCTTTAGAACTCCTTACCGAAGCATCTTGTTCTATTTTAAGTTCGGGAATTTAATAGCTTAAACGATCATAAACCCATTGCGGACCTAAATATTCTCCATCGAATAAGAAAATTAAGAATCACTCTTATTATTGTTTTCGTTGTCCTCTTAAAGACAGATTCCACGTTTTGCAAAAATAAAAAAATTCTAACAAAATGAAGATAGACATACCGACGAGCACAAGCGAATATATCAAAATTAAAAAAAAAAAAAACTCAACACCGATCGATCAAACTCGGATAAGAAAAAAAAATCGAACGTATAAAGAGAAGTTAATTTTATAGCAACCGTAAGTACCTAGATGTTAAAATTAACACCAAATATTGACATAATTACCTCTAATTTCTAATACCAAAAATATCCAACAAAATCAAGACAACAAGAATAATCAAAATATCCGAACACTCCAAACGCATAAACCAAATCATCAATTGAAGAATACAATTTTTAAGCTAACCCTATGTTTAAGGCGTAATTACCTCTAATCTCCAATACTAAAAATATCCAACAATAATTGCATTGTGAATCCGTGATACTGATTTTCTATGTAATTAAATAAATCACTAAGAAATTAAGGCGTAATTAATTAAGGTTATGCACCTTGACCGATAAGGATGATCGTGACCGTGACTCGTGAGTCCGTGAGGCGTGACTCGTGAGATCGATGACGGGTTAGCAAGCCGGAGCCCGGAGCTTGGAGGTTAGAGGATTTGCTGGACTATCACCGGAGGAGTGGAATAAAGACCGAGAGTCCGGGACATGAGGAGAACTCGAAGATGGGAATGAAGCCGAAATCGAAGGCTGAAAGAGAGACGAAGATCCGATAGTAGAAGACTCGAAGTCTATAGAGTGAGAGATGAGAGTGAGACCGAGTCGAGAGAGACAGAGAGCGAGATCCGAGTGAGGAGTGACTTAAGCGAGGACCGAGAGAGTGAGAGAGGATGCGATCACACACGCGGACGCCGGACGCCTAGACGCAGCCGAGCCGGTGACGCTAAGGAGTTAGGGTTAGGGATTTACCGATTTGGTTTTTGGAAATAAGAAATTAGAATTAGAATTAATTTAGGAATAAATTTTGGTTTTCGATTTGAATCAAAAATTTTTTTTCAAAAATCGAATCGAACCGAAATAAATTTCGATTTTTCAATTCAATTATAAATGGTAAAATTTAAAATTAAAAATCGAACCAAATTTCATAATTCGATCCGGTTGTATTCGATTTTTGATTAATCAAACCATTTGCTTACCCCTAAAGCTTGTTACTCGAAGAACTCCCTCGTCTATCCGTTGAGTGTATCTTACATATGGTTGTAAGTTAGACCTATTTCGAGTGATCGTACCGTTAACTCGTCGATATTTTGAATATATATTAGACATGACTACTTTGTTTTATATGATAGTAAAGGTAATGAATAGATAAACAAGTTTAGATGGTTAGCCGATAAAGGTAAAGTAGATTTGTAAAAATATAATGTAAATAGTGTGGTACTAGGCTAGTTATCATGTAAAAAGAAAAGAGGGTTGCAGTCACGTAAACCAAATTTGAACATGTTAATCATGTAATAAAATAGTAGTGTGTAGTGTAGCTTCGTTGATTTAATATTTACATGCTACTAGCCTATAGTAATATGGATAATCAAGTGGACATAGGAATAATAAAGAAAGAACGAGGAGTAAATAACTTAACAATCTTTATAAAAGATGATAAGTAATAAAGAAAAAAGTTAAACTACCAATTAAAGAGTATCATCTAGATAAATTTATTCCATTTTATAGAAAAAGAATATGACAAAAGTAAAAGACATGGATCCAGTTATTCTAACCTAAACTCGTTAAAAAAAAATATTAAAAAAAATTAATAGTATATTTTGGACTCGAAATTTGTAAGCAAAAGTTGAACCTATTAACTACTTAATGGACTTCGCCATAAAAAACTAGAATTAATAATACGGTAAAAAAGGACACAAAACCTTATGTCTTGCATTCGTCGTGAGGCACGACAAGAATATCCTCAACCTATTTAGGTCTTACGTTCGGAGTGTTACATTAGATGAGTCGAAAATAAATACCTAAGGGTCCCTTCCTAGTTTTCCTTCTACTTCATATTTTCTTCAAATAAGTTCTTTAAAAACATAAAATAGGTAAAAATTGAATTATCGAACACCAAAACCGATATATTTTGAAACCGAATTAAACAATCGAATAACAATTTGATTCGATTTTAGTCATTTTTTAAAAAATTTGATTAATAGAAAACCATCTAAAAAATTTCAAAATCAAATGAATAACCAAACGAACATCCCTACACCCCATAGAAACTCTTATCCCTAGTAACTTCACACACTCTTATAGTAGGTTTGGTGAGTTAGGAAGGATTTAGATGGCTTACGAAGGCTAAACTTTAGGGTTATCCATTCGTTCTTGGAACCAGCTTTTGGATTTAGGTTGTATTGTGAAAAGAAGATAATTTGGTCTCGGGGATTCATAAGATAGGAAAAACCATAAGACCTAGTGGCTATAAGGACGTTCAATTCTTGGTGTTCTAGGTTTAATTTTGGAATTTAATTAGCGATTGAGATTGGGTAGAAACTAAAATCAAATTTGGGGTTTCTAGGTTTGTGAAAAGGTAAGGGATTGAGTGGTTTTTTCGGGAGATAAGGTTCAAAATGTCGAGATCGTTTGATCTCGTAAAGAATTATGGCAACTTAGGCAAGCGAGAGGGAGAGAGGGAAGAAAAATAATGTGAACTAAGGATTTGATTTTGAAGGGAAACTGGTAGCTTAGTTTTTCGATTTGTGTAGGAAAGAGATTTAAACAGTGAAGTTTGGAGAAGAGGATAGAGTGAGTAGAGGAACTAGGTTAGCAAGGTAGAAACGAGAAGGGTGAGGCGAGAGGAGAATGAAGCGGAGAGAAATGAAAGTTTAGGTTTTGATCCGAGGAAAGAATGAGAAAGTGTTAGAGGGGTGGATGTGTTAGGTTAGGCCTTAGTGAAAAAAAGGGTTGGGTTTAGCCTAGTTCGAAAAGAAGAAGAAGAGAAAACAGATCGGGTCTATCCCAACTCGAAAAAGAAAAGAAAGGAAAGAGTTTTGGGCCTAGCCTAATGGATCGAGAGTCTATTGACTCTACAAAGCCCAATTCCTTAATTTTAGCTATTTAGATAAATTAAACTTGCTATTATTTTTTGTGTATATGTTTATTTTATGCTTAAGTTTGATTTAATATTTTGATTTTCTTGAATTTGTTTAGTTAATATATGATTTTAGGGTTTCTTTCAATAATTAAGTTAGGTAATTAATAGGTAGATGAATCGTCAAGTCTCCTAATTTTTAGAGGTTGATGATTATTCCCCACCAAATAAAAAAAGAACAAAAAAAAAGAAAAATATAAAAAATATTTGAAAAGAAAAGAAAAGAGTAAATGGTAAAAAGAAGATAGAAAAAAAATATAAATGACATAAAAATTAAAAATAATAATAAATAACAAAAAATGATAAAAAAAAGGTGCTAAAAATGATAAAAATAAAAGAGGAAAAAGGTAAAAACAGAAAAAAAAACCCTAGGTGAAAAATTAACAAAGTCTCCTATCTAACAATGATCGATGTTAGTTTAAAACAATCGGATTTAGTAATTAGCTTGTTTTACGACACACCGGCTATATCGAGACTTTAATCGAATTCGATGTTGAGTTGATGAAATGTCCGATGGAGGGGTTTGACAATGGATTCAACTTGATGCTACAAAAAAAAAAAAAACTTAGTTTTGCATAGGAAATGAAACTTGAAATTTTGACTAGCATTAATTTTGGCAAATATAGAAATTTTTAGGAGATTAATTTTAGGACTAACCTAAACGTGATACCTTTTTTAGAAAATGGTATGCTTTGGTGAATGATATTTTTTCAAAAATATAACTAACTTACGCCGAAATCTCCGAACGAGTATCCATTTTAGATTTACAATTACCTTTAATACTAGGTGATAATTCTAAAATTAATATCTTATGGTACTCGTTTGGTAATCGGGAATATAGTGATGAGAATAAGAATAAAAGTTTTATTCTCACATTGTAGATGTTTGGTTAAAAAGAATGAAGTGAGAATGAGAATAAAAATTTACGAACAACTTTATTTCCACATAAGATGTGAGAATAAAAATAAGGAATGAGAATGAATTTTTTTCAAAATAATAATATATTTTATTTGTTTATTGTCTATTAACTACTTTTATCACCACCATAATTACCACCACTACCGTCATTACTTGCTACCACCACCGCAACCAGCACCACCACCATCACTACAATCATCTCCGTCGTAACCATTATCATCACAATAACCGCCACCACTAGAACAACCACCGCAATAACCACCAACACTAACATCATCTTTATTATTCTTACAATTATTATAGTTTGATAAAAATATTTTTTTTAATTATTATTTTTATTTATATACAAAATCAGATATTAAAAAATTTAAATTGTATTTCGATTTTTCATTGGTATTTCAAACGCAATATGAGAATGCAATTGTCATTTCGATTTCTTATCCGTATTTTCATTCCGGACATTTTATTTCTTATAACCAAACGATACTTTAATACTAGATGATGATTCTAAAATTAATAAATAACTCACATCTCTAAAAGAAATAAATTTTTAAATAAATAAAACTTAAATAAAATATTCGAGAGTCTCACGAATGTTAAAAAAAAAAAAAAAAAGTGTACACACTTATTGTTCATGATGGAGGCTTATAAATCTCGTGGAATGACAAATGTCTAATGGATACAAGACACTGACTAAGACCATGAGGATGTCTTTCCCACTCTTAATCTCTCTACTTGCCCATAGAATTCACTTTTCACTGTATTACCAAGACATATAGCCAGCCTGCAGCACTTTAGCCCTTCTCGTGTTAGAAATAAATAGACGTGTTAATTAAAAAAAAGTTGCCTTTATACCATTTTTGTTAAAAACTCGAAATTAGAAAAAAAGGGTCATCTTTTTATTGCTTTCAAAACCAAAAGCGACGGATCCTCAACAGCAAACCATATAGTGTACCCAAAAGCTGACATATCTCTGCAGCGTGCTTTATGGGTGTGGTTGTTTATAAGTTTTGATTCCTCAAGTTCTTGCATTAATTGCGTTCAATAAAGCAGAAAACTACTTGACTTTCTTCTCGTTTCTTGGACTGACTTTTTGTCAAATGGATTCCGTACTCAAACAATTAAACATTAATTTGCTCTTGTTTGGGTTCAAAAAACGTGCATAAGAAAATATTGATTATAAAATATTTTACAGTTTTGTTAAATAAAAAAAGTTTTTAATTTTTTTATTCTGATTTAAATTTAAATTTTTTTTCCTAATTTCAAATGATGTTAAATATACATAAAAAACAGATATCTTATCTTAATAAATCATGTGTCTAGGAGTATCTTTTTCAAAACATTCATAATTGTTTTAATGGATCACGAATATCTCATGTGTATTCAATATTATCTGACATTAATCAATGAGATAAAAAAACTTAATTATAAAGGTTAAAAAAAATTGAAATCCAAATTAAAATAAAAAAATATTAAAGACATTTTTCCAGGTTGATAAAAAATTCAGAATGCTTTGCACTCTATTACCCAAATTTCTCTGAGATGAGATGTGACAAAAATGTAATCTAGGTTCATGTTTTGTAAACCCCATGCAATATACTGTTCATGCACGAGGATAAATTACATCCAAACCTAGCTAATTTGGTCCCTTAATATTTCCTTTTTCATAATCACTATCTCCATGGTAGAGAAAAAGTGGATAATTGCTTTCATCTTAAATGGACACTCTTGTGAAGCCTGTTCATATTTGTGGTTTATGTTTTTAATTAAAGTCTGTTATGAAATTACAAAAATAAAATAGAAAACTAGTTCCCCATGACTTAGGATACTTTTAGCTTCTAAGAGGAGTTATTAATTAATTATTTGGAGAGTGAATTTTTTTATTTTTTATTTTTATCAATATCTTTAATTATTTTTAAGATTAATATGTCTATATTGGATATATTTTCTTATATACTGTTTCAAGATTTTTTTATTCTCATATATTCTCTTTTTTTTTTCAAATGCCATTTTTCTACTTTTTGGGTAAAAATTGCGCCTTATACCACCCAAAAAAAAAATTAATTTTCAAAACACAAAAAAATTATATTAAATAACCAAAACTTAGAAATTTAATAAAAAAATTGAAAAAATAGAAATATAGAAACTCAAAATATCTCAAATAATTAAATAACATATGAAAAATAAAATAAAACATTGGTTAGTAATGAAAAACTTGAAGATTCCATGTTTTGCAAAAATTATTTGTAGTCATAGATGTATTTCTATTTAATTATGAGGTTTTATGGACACGATTTTTCCTTTTTTTCAGATCTAACAAGTTAGTTTTTTTTTTTTAATAAATTTTAATTTTTATATTTTTTAAAATATTCTTATCTTTTATGGGTTTTTTTTTTCTGGGTGTTTTAGTGTTTTTTAAAATATTTTAAAGTATTTTTTTAGGCATTTCAAAATTTTGTTTTAAATGGTTGTTGGGCGTTTTGACCTAAAAAGTGACAAAAATAGCTTATAAAAGAAAATAGAAATATAAAAAGACATACGAGAGAAAAAAATTATTGAAAGAACATATGAAAATACACTCAATCTATAAAAATAGATAGATCAATTAACTTTTTCTTTTAGTTTTGTCATTTAAGTGTAAGAACTTTCAAACGTGGAATAAGAAAAACTATAATGAATCTATTTTACGTTGAAAATAGTGGATAATCGGTAGAGTCAATAATTTGAAAAGTAATCAGTTTAATTTTTGGTTTTTGGTTCTATATCATTGTCAAATAACTTTTCGAGTGTCGTTTGATTATTAGAAATAAAAGATCCGAAATGATGCGGGAATAAAAATGAAAATTAGAAAATCAGAATGATATTTGCATTTGTATACCGTATTTCAAATACTAATGAGGAATTGAAATGAAATTTAGTTTTTTTAATAACTAATTTTTAATATGAATAAAAACAATAATTAGAAAAATAATTTTATTAATTATGATGATTGTAAAAATAATAAAAGTAACTATTGCGAGTGGTGATGGTGATGTCCATGGAGTAAGAGAAGGATGAAGAAGATTTATAGTAATAACTATATAATAACAATAACAATAATAATAATAATATATTTTTAAAAAATTTATACTATCACCATATGAGATGACAATGGAAGAAGAGTGATTGTGATATAACAAAAGTGACGGTATATGATGGAGGAGAAATAATGATACAATAATAATAATAATAATTTATTTTATCACCACCATCAATAGGAATGCTAAGGATGCTAGTGGTTGTGATAGTAGCAGTGATAAAATAGTAAGAAAATAATAATAATAACAATATATATATTTTTTAAAAAATTGATACCATTATGGTTGGAGATGGCATAAAAAGAGAGTGATTGTAAGCGGTGATATAATAAAAGTGACATTGGTGGTGGAGAAGGAATAATGATAGAATAATAATAATAATTCCTTTTATCATCATTAGTAAATGAAGATAGTGGCGATGGTGTTGGTGATAATGATGATGGTAAAAATAAATAAAAATAATATATCATTATTTTTTTAAAAAAATCATTGATATTCTTTGTTTTTATTTTTAATAAATAAAAATAATATATTATTTTTTAAAAAATTCATTCATAATTTTTGTTTTTATTTTTACTTTTCACATAAGAATGAAACTATGCGTAACTTTCATTTCTATTCTGATATTATTTATTCATATCAAACAATTATAAAATAAAAATAAAATTTAATAAAATTTTTTATTTCTATTTTTATCATTCTATTATGACAACCAAACATAACTTTAAGAGGTTTTTTCTACATCATTTGCCATCGGATCAACTCTCTGTCCAAAAAAGTTATTATTGTTAACGAGAATTAAATTTTGAGAAAAAGCAAGGACCCGCGAGTTAAATGTATAGTACAAGTTTTCAATTGATTTTATATTGAAAGAGGAACCGTAGGTCCACTGTGGAGAAAAAGGTCAGTAAAAGCCAGAATAGCCACCTACTTTTGCAGGAAATTACATTGACTTTGAGTAGAATGTACCAATAACGAGTTAAAATAATCAATAATTATGCTACGAACAGTAATGTCAGACTAATTTAATGTTGCACAAAATGAATGTTTGCTTTGTTATTATTGGAGAATTATTTGGGCTGCATTTGTGAGTTGAAGAAAAAGTTTATGTAAAAAGCAAGGAAGGCCATGCATATCCATGCACAATTTGTTGCTTCTCGTAATTATAAATTATAAATAAAATTAAAGTAAAATATTCATTTATTATTTGAAATATTATTTATTTAGATTTATTTTACTATTCATCTAAACTCAAATATATTATTTCTTTGATTATGCAATATTATTTTTATAGTTTTAAAATATTTTTAATACATTTATTATGAAATTTTTTATAATATTACACTTTACTCTTTTTTAAAAAAAATATAATTTTTTCAATTCGTAAATATTTTTTATTTGGTTTCAGTTTTTTTTTTGTTTCATTCTACTTGCTTTGGTCCTTTTTTCTTTGATTTTTTTAATAAAAAATTTTAGGATAAAAAAATATTAAAAAAATAAATTTTTAGCTAAAAATTCATTAGTTTTGACATTTTTTGTATTATTAAATAATTTTTTTTGATAAAAAATAAAAAAATAATTAATCAAATATAAAATTTGATATATTTTGTTACATTCGTAGCATAGTGTGTACAAAAAAATGTGATAACAGCTGACATGATCTAAAGAAAGACGAACAAAATCATAGAGGAGGGGAAGGCTGAGGCTGCAGGGAAGACGGTGGGAAGGGAAGTTGATCGTGATCATGTAAAAAGTTGAATAAAACACGGGGTGTAAGTAGGTGTAATGAGTTTGGAAAGGAGAAAAAAGCAGAGCAAGTGAAAGAGACTGGTCAAGCAGGGCATGCTGATTGCTGCTGTCACCATGTCACTCGTGGACTAAACAACCTTTAGCCAGCCACACCGGGCTCGTAGCTCGAGGTCCAGCATATACATGTTCATAATAATGTAATTTACTAATGTCTCAAACCTTTTAATTCATTAGCAATTTGGGTGATTATTTGATTGATTACACTAGATTCCTCTCATTTAAGCTATGGAATTTGAGCTACTCTAGGCAAGAAAAAAACAATCATAATTCACCAGGATTCCCTCTAGATTTTCTTGCAGTAGCAGTGGTTGCATGCCTGCTCTGCTCTCTGTGCTATATAACTGAACTATAGTAAATTAGTTGGCTTGTTATGGAACGAGATCTTTCAGAATATTTCCAAAAGGAACCAAGAATCTTGGGAATCCAAACCATGTTTTAGTACAGCACCTTGGCTAAACTAACCTAAATTTTGGAATTTTTGGATCATATACCAATCATATCCTAGTTAATGATCATGTCATTTTGATAATGGGTTTGTAATTCACTAGCATTCTTGCAAAGTTAAATGATAAATTGCGAGAATTTAGAGTTCGTCATGTGAGTATTAGGGTTTGATGTTCGATCATTCAGACAAATCCAAGACCATTCTAGTACACATCTATCTATCTATTTATTTATGATGCATTTCGATTCCAAGTAGCTAATGCAATATGTTTGACGTGAAGTGATCTTGTGCATATAGTTGCACTCTAGTCCAAATTTAAGGGCAGTGACAGCAGAAACTAACAGGACATGGTTAAGCTAAAGGATGGAAACGAACAGTGGAAGTCCCATCCTCTCAATGTTCAATTATTTGACAGAAGTTTTTCTTCCTTCCAAAGACAATAAAAAGGTAAAACCTCATCATATTAGGAAATTAAGAAAAGGATTGAAAGTACAGAAACATATATGTTATCAAGCGTCCATCAAAAGTCTTAAGGAAAAAACAAAAAAAAAAAAAAAAAACAAGAAGAAGCCAGATTCCACACATCTAATCAATTAAATACACATTGGGGGTAATCCAATGCAGTGCAGTGCAGTGCAGTGCTAACATTGTAATATTGACATGGTAGGAGCTTTCAAAGGCAAAGCTTTGTGTAGTGTCCATACATACATGCACATGAACATTGAACCCTAACCTCAACTTTTGTCACCTAATGTACTTTCAAGTTTTGAGCCACCGGCCAGCCCCATGTGAATATATAACCCATATCACTAGCTCACCCCACAACAGCCAAAGACTTTAACAGTCTCAACAGAGACAGTACAGAGCTCCCTATCACTTCACTGCCACACCCTCCTCAGTAACAGCTTTAAAATCCTTGCAGTCCAAGCCACAGCCAAAGCTAAAGCATCAGCACTCTTTTATATCCTCCACATAACTATCAAGTATCAACCCTCAAAACACTCTTTCTTTGCTTTTATGTACGCTTTTTTGTGGTTTGAAAGAAAGAAAGGGACTACTAGTTCAAAGATGGGTGTTATTGGTTTTTGTGTTGATCCAAATAGGGTGGTTTTGTGTGGGAAGAGGAAGTTAAGGAGCTTGTTTTGGAGGGTTAGAGCAGAGATAAGGAGACAAGTGAAGAATAGGAAGTCCAAGCAAAGGCTTAGCTTCCATTATGATCCTTTCAGTTATGCTCTCAACTTTGATGATGGCAACTTTGGTTTCTGCTGATCATCAAGTCTTCTACTTAACAACAAAATGACAGTAGATGAAGAACAAGTGGTAGCATCCGCAGTAGCTGTAGCAAGAGAAGTTAATGATCAAGCAAAAGGACATGCTGTGCTTTTGTTTTGCCTTTTGATTCTAGCTTCTTGTTTTTTCTAAGTTTAGTTCTAAGTTGTAATATTTAGAGGAGAGATCAGTGTATGTAATTTAGAAGTCAGAACCCAACTTTGGCAACTTCCAATCGTTACTGCTTTTCTTATATATATATATAACATGATCTTTCAAATTATCAGATGCTCAGTGCTTGATCTCTTTCTTTTAACCATCCATCAATGGATCAAGTGAGAATCATAAAACAGCTGATCTTTATGTCATTAATCTTGGGATCCCTCTTTAAAAAAATTGAAGGAAGTAAAGAAAGAGATACAATGTGAGGTACAGATTCTATTATTTTTAGATACAGTTGTTGCTTCCAGTACTGTCAATGCCAAACCTGCTGTGCTTTCATTATCCTATATATGCAGATCCTCATGGTTAGTTTCAGTTTTTAAGCTAAAAATCCAAGGTTTTGCCATTTTAAACACCTGGTATTTATGAATTCTCTGCTTGATTAAATTCACCATGTATTTTTAAACTGTATGGCTAGTAGGGCATGATTGAATTGTCTTTATCCTTCTGCTTCTGCACCACTTTTAAGACAAAAACAAAATGTATACCAGCTTGGTTTGAATCATTTGTCAACATCTTCTACCTCTTTTGTTACCTAGTGCCATCCATTATCATTCTTTCTGCTGCTCTCCATGCTTAGTTGCTTTTAATTATTTGTGGCGCACCTTACTGCCCAACTTACTTGTAAGGTCACTATTTTGTGTATACACACACACATACTACTGTTGAAAATAGGAAATTTGATCCATTTTTAACTTTTAACTCGTTTGAATTACTCTTATAATCGACTAAAAATACTGCCATTTCATCGTTGTAAATTTGGGCCTTATACTCCAAATCTGCTGGTGGTAAAAATTTTAGTTTATGCAGAGTTTTTTCAGGCAGTTCTGATGAAACTAGCAGGCAGCTGGTGTGCAATTTGGAAGGGGAGTAAAGCCCATGAAAGGGGGAAATTCTATCTTATCTAATCCTTAATAGTCAAGTGGTCCATTCTCCGTACTCTTCGATGCAGACTTCAAAAGTCAAAGACATTGAAAGGTGCATTAGTGAATCCCATATGGTATTATATAATGCAACCCTTTGTAGCAACTGGATGCTGACTTAATACTGCTGCATTTATAGTCTTTTGTAGTTTTGTATTATATAATGCATTAGTTTGTAACATCCCATATCTATTATTATTTTATGATTAATTAAAAAATATTATTTTATTATTAATTAAAAGAAAAAATAAAGAAGGTAAGATTTGAATTTGTGATAGTTCGATGGTTAAAGCTTTAATATCATGTTATTTGCATGTATCTATTATTATTTTATAATTAATTAAAAAAATATTATTTTGTTATTCATTAAAAGAAAAAGCGAGGATGATGAGATTCGAATTCCCGACAATTCGATCGTTAAAGCTTTAATATCATGTAAAAAAATTATCTTAGTTTAAAAATTTAAAACGTTAGATGAAATTTTAAAAATACTGATATATAAAAAATACAATAAAAATAGAGTCTTTGATTGTTTGATATGATATGAATTTGAGGATAACCCATTTTGATATCTCCTTCCACGGTGTTAAACTTGATCTCCTAAAAGTATCTTTTTTTTTTTTTTTTTTTTCTTTTCATGGAATTTGTCTTGTCCTTCTCCTACTCCGCTGAAAGCCCAAACAAAAGGGACACCTAGGCTTGAATCATTTGATGTCATAGCAATGGCCCATTTTGTCCTTGAGTCCTAAGCCCAATACTAGCTTATTTGTGGCTCAAAACTAGTCTTCTAATTTTGAATTAATTAAATACTACCCCCTGTAGTTTACCATGCTTAACTAATTAGTTCCTGTAGTATGAACAATAGTCAAATAGTTCATCCATCAATGTTGACGATCTTTGGCTTTGTAGCCTTTTATTCACACACACCTTATTTCCAAATCAAAGTATCCTTTCTTTACCCACTTCTAATTACTCCATTTTTCCATGAAAAATTTAAAAAATAAAGCTAAATAACTTGAAAAGAACATGAAATTTGCGAAAAATAAAAAAGGGATAAAATAATAGTTTTGAGACAATGATGACTAATTGGTTAAACTTTTAAACTACAGGGACCAAATTATAATTAACTCTCTAACGCTTGGCGTTCCATATACCCCGACCAAAGCAGCAAGCAGAAGTCTCATGAAGGAAGAGAAAATAATCTAAACCGTTGATATAAGGCTTTGGGAAATCCAGGGGTGCATAAGGGGTCCAAGTCATGGATCCATGTCAAAATCATTTACTCAAATGCCAAAACCGAAAGCTTCCAATTGGCGCGATTTTAAAACCGCCAAGACTGGAATTTCCCTCTCTTTTATTTTCATTTTCCCCTTCAAAAACAGACCAAAACCTGTTTCTTCTCAATCTCAAAAAAGGAAAAAGAGAGACAAAAAGAAAAAATAAATAAATCTCTCACGAGTTAGTAGAAGAAGGAAAAGATATGGCAAGGAAGAGAGTAGAAGCTGAGTCTACCGATGGGTCTGTTAATACTACTACTTCACTTGTTCGTGCTAAAAATGGCAGTGCTTTTACTCAATGGTAGTTTCTTGCTTTCCCATTTTTTCTATTTTTTTTTTGGGTCTTTTGTGTTGTTAATTCTGGTTTTTTCTTATTTTCTTTTATTAATTTGAATTTGGAGCTTTTGATTTTTTAACAAATTCTGTTTCTGGTTTTTTCTAATTTTGTGTTCTTGGCTTGATAGTGGGGTTTTAACTATGGGTTCGTTGAATTTTGAACAAGTAGAGTTAAAAAATTCTGTTTCTGGGTTTTTCTAATCTTGTGTTATTGACTTGATTTTGGGTTTTAAATTATCGGTCCTTTGAAGTTTTGAAGAAATGGAGAAACTCAGTTACAGAAAGTGATAAATTAGTGAAATAATGCTGGATTATGTTTTTTCAATCGATTTGATGAGAGGTATTGAATTGAAATGTGTAAAGTAAATTTATGTAGCGAGGAGTGCAAGAAGGATGTGCCAATGGCTCTAATAAGTTTCCACAGCTGTAGCCTTGATGCTAAAATCAAGATGAATTTGGGTAAGTTTAGTTCCATAATATTCGCATAAGTAAAAGATTAATTTTATAATTTGGAAGTTAATTAATTACTAAGTGGGTTTTTAATTACTTGTTATGATTTAGAGGCTCGAGTTGTTGAAAAGACTGAAGATAAGAAGAAACCAGCTGAGAGGTGAAATTAATTTCTTGTACTTGCTGATTAGTAGACTAATTAATTGCTATGATTTGAGCATTGTGAATTAATGATTTTGTTTGTGATTTTTTGTTTCTTTCTGTGTAGGAAGAAAGCAACCCCAACAGAGCCGAAAATGAAGAAAGCTAAGAAGGAGAAGAAGGGCAAGGATCCAAATGCACCAAAACGCCCTCCCACTGCGTTCTTTATCTTTATGTAAAAATACCCGCTGTTGCTTTGGTTGTTTGATGTAATGTAATGTAGCGCTATTTTGTGTAATTGGGGATGTTTGTATTGATGTGTATTGTTTTTAAATCAGGGATGATTTTAGGAAAGAATACAAAGAAGCAAACCCGGACTCTAAGGATGTTAAGAAGGTAAATGGAATGCAGTGTTGTGTCAGTTTTATTATGTGCCTTGGGGTTAGTAATGCTAATGCTGTGTTTAATGAAATTTCAGATTGCAAAGGAAGGTGGTGAGAGATGGAAGTCATTGACTAATGAAGTGAGCGTCATGCATTGGTTTAACTCAATGTTATAATCATCTGCGGATGCTAGGGGTTTTTAACTGTTTTGTTTTGATTTGGATTTGTTTCAGGAGAAGAAGCAATATGTGGATAAGGCTGCTGAGCTTAAGGCAGAGTATGGCAAGGCCTTGGAGAGTAACGATGCCAAAAATGAAGATGTGGGTTCAAGATCATTTCTAAATTTATTGTTTTATTGAGAATGTTATGGGATTTAGTATTGAAGGCTGTTTGTTCCTTTTGTTCTTATTCAGAATGACGGGGTTTCTTCAGAGAAAGAAGGTGGTGTTGAGCAGGAACTGCAAGATGGTTCGGATGAAGAGTAGGATATTTCAAACTGTCTATTTTATAGTTCTGCTATTTTGTATTGAATCCACCTTGTTGCCTTGTAAATTTTGGATCTGCTTTAGTTAACGAGTATGGAATTTGTTTAGAGCAATGTAATCCCAATCTCCCTGTTTTTTGAGCATGAATTGCAGTTTTCTTAGATTCTTGGAAATAGCTTAGCTTGTGAGCCATTAATGAAGTTGATCTTTGATTTCCTCCTTTAATGGTAATTGATGCTGTCCCTTCATGCCTTTAACATGAGATATGATTTCTGTTGCTGAAATCTGAATGTCCAATTTGATTCTTCTATCATCTGTTAGATGAGTTATGCCAAATAGCAACAATGTCAATCTTGTGTTTCCAATTCTTTAGACAAGCGGTATTCTATCCATGTGAAATGCTCATGTATGCTTTATAGATAGTATAAATTTAGCAAACTTTAGCTTCCCTCTGGTGTGCCACATTGCAAATTTGTAGTAAAAATGGCTATTAAATAATGGGATTTTATTTCTTAAGCGACAAGTGATATGTATTACTAAACATGGCTACAGGAGTTGTAAGCAAATAACAAAAAATAAACTATTAACTGTTGCAGAATAACATAAACTGTTACCCTTCCCTCTTATTTGACAATACTCATTTGATGTGAGCTTGTATCCTTGGGAATTGAGTCAGCATCAGACTGGCCCATTTCTCCTTGTTTTTCATTTCTATGTCCTACAAGGTGGCAGAGGTTTGCCACATAAGCATAGATTGTGAGCATAAGCTCCTGCAGGGAAGATATCATAAGGTCTGCCTTGTGGGATCTGTCCACAAAGTCTGTTGGCCCTGAAGTTTGCATGTCTCAGATTTGTAATTCCCAACAAGCTAGTTGGGATCTTCCCTGTGAGTCTGTTGATAGAAAGGTCAAGCCATTGAAGATTCGACAGGAGTCCCAAGCTCGTCGGAATGATTCCTGTTATCTGGTTCCGTGAAATATCTATCCTCTCCAGTTCATTAAGGTTTGAGATTGAAGCAGGGAACTGACCTGTAATCCTGTTGTTTCCTATGTTTAGAACCTTCAAGCTCAATCCTTCAATGAATTCTGGGATTGTGCCTGAAATTTGATTGCCTGATACATCTAAAACCTCCAAAAAGCTGCTTGTCCTGTTATTTAAGATCCTTGAGAGAAACCCACTGAGCTGATTTGATTGAAGCTCGACCGAAGAAATTCCATCTGGCAATTTGATCTCTAAAATATCAAACTTCAATTGGTTATTTGACAGCTTGAGCTTCTGCAAATTGGACATGTTGGTGAAGAAACCAGCAATGCCACCTGTGAGAAAGTTATCAGATAGGTCTAAAGAGCTCAAAGAATCTGGTCTTGTAAATTTCGGAAGGTTTCCTTTAAGTTTACAGCCAGCTAGGTGAACATCTGAGAGTTCTCTATCTTTGATCCAATCAGGAACGTTCCCTAAGCTGAGGTTGTTGTAAGACAGGTCTACTGACAACAGAGAAGGAAGACCCCCAGCTTGAATAACTGGCAAAGGATCTGAGAGCCCATTTCTGGATAAGTTAAGGTACCAAAGGTTCTTTGAGCTCGAAATGGTTGCAGGAATCTGACCTATAAGCCTATTAGAGCTCAAAGAAAGACGTGTAAGAGATTTTAGGCCTGTGATTTGATCTGGGATTCTTCCTGCCAGCTGGTTATGATCCAGGGACAAGTCCTGAAGTTTGAACAGGCTGAACAGTGAAGTTGGCAACAGCCCTGACAATTGGTTGTTGGACAGGTCAATGAAGGTAAGATTTTGAAAGTGCCCCAGAATATCTGGAATCAAACCAGACAACAAATTGAAACTCAAATCAAGAGATTGCAAACTAAGGAGATTTTGGAAAGTGGCTGGGATTGGACCTGATAACAAATTTCTTGCTAAACTGAATTGCTGGAGCTTTTTAAAGTTCCCTAGGCTTGGAGGAATCTGCCCTCTCAAATGGTTTCCACTTAATGAGAGGGTATTGAGAGAGGACAAATGGCCTAAACCAGGAGGAATGTTCCCTTGAAGAGAATTATCCTCCAGGACCAGTTGTGTAAGATGGGTCAAACTAGAGAAACTTTCAGGAATAGGACCTGCAATATGCTTCATACCACTTATCAGCATTACCTCCAAGAATGCCAAACTGCCAAGAGAAGATGACAAAGTGCCTCTCATGTAAATGCCACTGTCCCTCGCAGGTCCCTGCAACACCAAACCAGTAACCCTCCCTGTGGCAGGATTGCATTGAACACCCTCCCAATCTCCTCCACAACAATCTCTCCCTATCCATGAAGAGAGAATATCTGTAGTATCCTTCAAGATTCTGGCTTTGAACCCAAGAAGAGCCAACCTATCTGCCTCTGAGCAAACTGGGTTCTTTAGTGGTGGGCTTATTGTTTGAGCAAGTGACAGTAGTGACACCACATCAAGAAAGAAATATAGCAGTAAAAGCTTGGAAACCCACCCTAGAATCTGCATTTTGGGAAGTGGGTCTTGATCAGTTCAGAGAGATTGGTCTTGGGATATATGGAAAAACAAAAAATTTTTGATCTGACAAGAAGAACTTTGAATGGGAAAAAGCTAGTATTCTAGCATGAGTAAAGTGGCAAAAAGACTGTAAAGCAGGCCTTGTTGTTTATTCTATTCCATTTCTTCACGTAGACAGGAAGGTATAATGATGATAAACATAATACTTAGAAAAAGAAAAAAAAGATTCAAGAAATATAATTGTGGTTTCAACTTAGCCCTGCAAGAAACTGAACCATGTCTCTCTTATATTTATAGCAGTACCATAATAGAGAAAGCAAAAGAAACCCTAGTCCTCACTTTCTTCGGGTTTTTTACTGAATTTGTGATGGGTTTAAAGAGATTCACATGGAAAATTGTGACCGTTGATGAATGTATCACGAGGTTCCTATATGTTATTTGAACGTTGGAGCGCACTTCATTCAAATTTACTTCATTTCCAACGCTTTTTCAAATCAAATCACACGACTCCATTTTCTTGTTTTTTTGCTATACTCTTCTAGTCCACAACTTCATGCCCTCTAGCTATTACTAGATGGATTTTCATGGACAATATCATAGCCAATTAGTTGTTCATGTGAGTCAATGTACCATAAACCATTACTTCCTTTGTTTGATAACTCTCCTAAATGCTTAATGAGAACAAAATGTGAAGGAAGATTGATTTGCAAATTGTGACCGTTTGATGATGTACGAGTTGAAAAATTGAAAAGAAAATGTTGACAAAAGCAATTATATTGATTTGATCAAAAGACAAAAAGCAATTATGATGACAGTTATGAAAGAGGAGATGAGAAATGATAGAAAGGAATGGTTTAGATTCATTTTGAAGTACTTCGGGTTTTCAATGTTTCATGTTTCAACCACCACCATGTAATTCCCCTTAAAAGGATAGGATAGCTGAGGAAGGAAGAGGATGGAGGCAGGTCTAGGGAATTATTAACTTTTCCTAATCCGGAAGCTTGCTGGCTCAGGCCTTAGATTATCTTAATAGAGTCAGTGCTTTTGCTTAGTGGGTCATTCTTGTGTCCCCATAACTGTAAAGCACATGAATACTTGGTTAAAGCTAGCTAGGGTACTATGCTGCTCAAATTGTACCAAAAAAATTTAGGGCACATATCAATTAAACTCCTAAATTGAATTTGGGTTTAATATCAATTTTGTATCTTAGCTATTTTGATTTTTCAATTAGGATTTTTATAAAAATTATTTAGTGATAAACATTAAATTTTCTTTAAATTAATGTTTTTTAAAAAGAAAAAGAAGTACAATTTAGATGGAAACGTGGATGGAAAGAACTTAAAAAATAGATGAAAAAATTTAATTGAGAATTTATAAAAATCTAAGGATAAAATTGATAGGAAAGCTGAGACTATCTATATAATAGGAGAATATTTTTGAGATTTGCTCAAACAGCTGTTTTATTGTTTTTTTTTTTTTTTTATCAAACAAAAGGTTATTTTATAGTTAATTGGACAATTTAAGGTCCCAAGGAGTTCCTAATATATATATATATATATATATATATGCACAAGTTTAGATGTGGAGAATAGAGATTCAAGAATACCCTCACCATTAAAGAGAAAATGATTTCAAGTTTGAATGTTTTATAAGATAATTGATTGTAGCAGGCTTTTACAAGTCAGAAATGTTGATTTTTGTACAAGAAGTTTGTCAAACTATCATTCTTGTAGTTTGACTTGTCTGCTTCTTTAATTTCTTTTTTCACCATAAATGTATTGTCTTATATCTCTTTTCAATATATACATTAATTCTTCCTTACTTATACTGCCCAAATCTGCAATTGTATATTCTTCCTTGCCTGTTAAAGTAAATAAATAAATAGTTTTTTTTTTTAAATAGATAGAACGATGCAGTCCATAATAAGTGGTTAAATAATTATTAAATTAGCGTTAGAAATTAATAGTTAGTAAAGCATGAGAATTGTATAAGTTGAATTGATTATTACTATAGAAATTAGATATTATTCTAACTTTTTCTTGTATTGATTTTTCTTTTAAACTCAATTTTTTTAAAAAAATATTTGAAACTCGTGGATTTTTTTCTAAAATTTTTTATAAATATAAGGAGTTCATTACCACTATATCAAAGCTCGATTAGTAATAAATAGATCGAGTTAGAATGAATTAAAAAATGGTATTTTAATTTTTGTAGGTACTAATTTGATAATAGAAGTACAATTTACTGCCTATTAATGTAAAAAGAGAACTGCTAATTAACCAAAGATCTTGTATTCTAATGATAGTAATTTCTTTTAATAAAAGATTATGAATTCAAATCCTAACAGATTAATTCTACTGAAAATCTTAGATATGTGAGTAAAAAAAAGTATTAATTATTTTGAATAACAAATTCATGATGTTAGAATAAGAAAAAAAAAAAAAAAAGAAGCCCTCATTACATTCTGCACCTTTTCATTTTCACCACCACCCAGTCAAATCTAGATTTGTGAAAAATAATTACCATTTTCAGAAATAAAATGATGAGGATGGTTACTTTCGGCTACTGCAAAACCAAAACATCACATGCAAAAATATTATGGCTGGAACAAAACATTTTATTTTAATTTGTCTGTACATTAATTTGTGCAATGAAAAAGCTTAAGCCAAAATATGTGGTGGTCTCAATCTTTGTCTTGGCAAAAAAAAAGGAGCAAAATAAGGTCACAAAAGTTGAGGGAACTTTAAAAATAAGTCTATTTGGAAAAGTATGCATAACCAATCAAGCTTGAGTTTGGCAAATTTTTCTTCCAAAAAGGAAAAAACCTGTTTTTTGCTTTTCAATAATGCCAGGAAATGTTACTTCTTCTTCCTCCTCCTCTTCATGCAGAAATTCAAGACATGTTTTTAGACATTTTTTATGGATGTTCTACAATTCTGATAATCGGCTTGGATGATATATAAGCCCATATACTTTTCATGTTAATGTTCATGGTTTAAATTCTAAGATAAGAGTAAAATTATTATTCGAGATTATAAATTGAGTAAAAAAAATTTTTTCTGATAAACAAACATATTTTTTACAATTGATTAAAAATTAAACGTAACCCAACGTTACACTAACTTAAAAAATAGTAGATTTAGTAATAATTGATATAAAAAATAATTCAAAAATGCGTTATTACCTATAAATATACATGAAAAAAAATATAAAAAGAAGACATTTTTTCATAAATATATAAGCATAGATGATCTATTTAAGGTCGGATGAAAAAAATTCAAAGATATATATATATATATACTTGATGTGAAATTTACCGTATGGCGAAGGAAATGGGCTAGTGAAGTTGAATTTGGTCCTTCAATAATTAATACTAAATGCTAATTACTAGTTAATGACAAGTTAAAAATTGTCTTATTGGCCATCTAATCACCACAACGTAACCCATTCCTAATCTTCCACTAAGGAGACATCAACCTATTTTATACGTTGTCGTGGGCTGTCCTGCTGATGTTAGGGGGGCCACATCTGGCCGTTTATTAGCAAATAGAGAAGAAAACATCAACTGTTATTATTCTAACTCAAAATTAAGGTAAGTAAAACAATAATTATTATTCTAATTGTCTAAGAAACAAACACGCAATAATGGGTTATTATTCTTTTCAGCAAACGAAAAAGAGAAAAGAATGTTATGCATTAAATGAAGTTGAATATTCTAACTCAAAAGGATGATCCGTTAGTTTGAAAAATGAGATAAAAATTTGTAATATCCTACTCATGTAAAATCCCTCTTTCTTTTGTTTTTATAGAAGCAATCAGTTAAGTTCTTAGCTTCTATTTCAATTAGTGATAATATCTAGCTAATCATACATCTATAAGTAGTTTACCTAATTTGTCTTAAAAAAATTATGAATCTAAACTTTTTTTGTCATGCTATATATATATGTGTGTGTGTGATTTTCTAAAATATCCTAAACTCAAAGGTTTAGACTAATATTTCGTTATTATATCGGATGCATTATAAAACGAAAACAATTATTTAAAAAAAATTATATACATAAAAATTTAAATTCGAAACTATTTAATTAAATGATTAGAATTTTTTTTTTGTTCAAAACAATAGTCTTGAATACTTTTAAAAAGATATTATTGATTGTGCACATAATTAATATATATATATATATATATATTTGTCTTTATAGACGCTATCAGTTAAGTTTTTAGATCCTATTTCAACTAGTAATCATATCGAACTAACTATACATACAATTGATGTTTATCTAACTTGTTATTAAAGAATGTCGATGTAAACTTGTGATCATATGAAAAAGATCAGTCGAACATTTCTAGTGGGATATTGATGGTAGAGAAAGCCACATGCAGATCATTTGGTGGAATTTTGATAATAGAGAAGAGAGAAGATGAACGAAATAGATAGACTGCGATGATTGCGGTAGAATGAGCAATGTCCCACTTGGAAACGACAATGTTGACTGTGTAGCATCATTATAGTATTTTTGCTCAACTCAACTTGGAACGTGATTTTGGAGCCTTTAAGTTGAAGGTGAAGAAAGAAGGAATGCAGCAACAAGTGTTGGATAAAAGTAAGATGAGAACCCTAACACATGCACTTGTGTCACTTCATAACATTTATCACTATCCGTATTCAAAACATCTTGACCATATCACAGTGAAATGTTTGTACAAAATATTAATTGCCTATGAATCTTATGGTGATCTTAAGATATACAAAGAGTAACGTATAAATCAATCCCTCTATTTTCTTTAGAAATGAATTAATCAATACTTACTGTTTCAAAAACTAATCATTTATTTTTTTTATTCATTTCATGTTTTTTTCAATCTATGTTGTTCTAAAAATAGAAAAAAAAAACTATTATAGAAAGATTGACGAGATAAGAAATATATTTTGAATGAAATAATATTAAACTAAATATAATTAATATTAGTTAAGAAATTAAATAATTAGT